CCGGTGCGGGCGCGACACTGAGGGTTGCGATCCGTTGCCAGACACAAAAAAAGACAAAAAGCTAAAAAAAAAAAAAAAAAGAAGAGTACAGGACAATTTTGAATGCATATTTACAACTGGAAGAAGCCAGTCTGACAAGGCTACATACTATATGATTCCAAATACATGACATTCTGGAAAAGGCAAAACTGTGGAGACAGTGAAAAGATCAGTGGTTGCCAGGGGACAGGGAAAGGGAGAAAGGAATCGGCAGAGCACGGAGCAGTGAAACTGTCCTCCACGATACTATGATAGTGTCATATGGATACATGTCAATACATTTGTCCAAACCCAAAGAACGTCCAACACCAAGAGCGAGCCCTAATGTAAACTGTGGACCTTGGGTGACAATGAGCTGTCAGTGCAGGCTCATTGATTGTGACAATCCTACCACTCTGGTGGGGGATATTGATAGTGGGGGAAGCTTTGTGTCTGTAGGGTATGTGGGAAATCTCTGTACTTTCTGCTTAATTTTGCTGTGAACCCAACACTGCTCTAAAAATTAAAGTCTATTTAAAGGGGGGACATGGTACATATTAAGCTCACAAGGCAAGAAGGCAGAAATCAGGACGGTGAGAAAGCAGGTCTAGGAACAAGTAAATTACTCTACACATACACATAGTATTTGTTTGTGTATGTGAGATATACACATATATGTTCTCCTCTCAAATTTCTCTCTGATAGAAATGGTGAGGAGACTATTACCAAACCGCAGAAACAAAAACCCCCAAAACCAGGGACTCCCATTGATTCTTTTAGAATAGAAGTTGGCAAATATTTTCTGTGAAGAACCACGAAGTAAAGAGCTGAGGCTTTGTGGGTCTTTTATCCCCCTACTCAGCTCTGTCTCAGAGCAGCCACAGAAAACACGTAAGTGAACGACGTGGATGTCTTTCAGTAAAACGCTACTTATGAACACTGAAGTTTTGATCTCATGTAATTTTCATGTGTCATAATCTTTTTTCTACCCATTTAAATACAGAAAACTGTTCTTAGCTCCCAGGTCATAGTTGGCCGACCCCTGCTCTAGATCAATGATTCTCATCCTCTCTACTGCTCCTTCTCTTAACAGGAACTATTTTCCAAACAATCTCTTAGCTGGAAGCCCAAAATATGAAACAGTCTTATGAGAGCAAAAGCACAGGGGAAAGCCCCTGCCTACCGGGCCACGCTTAGCTCTTCCCTGTCCCTTCCCGTTGTGCTAGTCGCCCCCCTCACCAGGTCCCTAGGGCTTCTCAGAACACAGTTTGAAAACCACTATTCTAGCATCTCTAAATCCCACCCCTGGACCAAACCAGGTCACTAGAAAGCTGCCCATACCCGAACCCCCTCCCCAACCGTGCTTCCCCTGAGCCACCCCGCGCATGGTGCCAGCTTGGGTGGGGCAGGGTTTCTGCCAACTCTGTCTAGTGGGGCCACTGTGGAGGGGATGCCTGCTGCACAACGTGTGCCCTTTGTGCAAACCCCCAGGAGAAATTTCTGTTCCCAAACTGCTGCACAGTGGAACCACCTGGGGATCATTCAAAAACACTGGTGCCTGCCTCCCACCCCAGACATTCTGATTTCATCAAAGTGCAACCTGGACATCAGGAATTTTTAAATCTTTCTAAGTGATTCTAATGCACGGCAATGTTTGGGAGCTATTGCCACAGACCCAGGAAATCTGTGCCTCGAGTAGTTGTCCTGTGGTCACTGTGAGGCTGTTCCTCATCACGCAAAGTTGACCTCCTGCTCTACGTTCCCAGTAGTTCCTTCTCCTAATTTCATTTTGCTCTCGCTCTCTCTTCATTTCCTTTTGCTTTAGTTTCTCTGTCCTTCCCTCCCTTCCTTCCTTCTTTCCTTTTTTCTTTTCTTCCCTCTGTCTTTCCTTTGGCTCTCCCTTCCCTTTTTTTCTTTGCCTTGTCTGTTAGTTTTTAGTAAAAATATCTTATTATAAAAGTGGTAATTGCCCACTATAAAAATAATTTAATTGCACACGTGTATAAAATCAAAAATAAAGGCTTCTCCCTCACCCCAATCTGAAATCACCCCAAATTCTCACTCTCCAAAGAAAACTACTTGTTTATCCTTAGAAAATTAGGAGGAAATACCATCTTCCAAGTATAAGTTGGGGTCTTCCTTCCCCCGGAGAACAAAGTCCCTCAGTCCCTCAAAGGGTTGAGCTTATAAGCAATAGAAAATGGACTAATACACCTGCCTGTGACTGGGTCCCCTGCAGTTTTTAACCCTCAGAGATGTCTACACTGAGTCCTGAGCAATTTTCCAGTCACAATTCAGATTTTCCTCCTCTGACACTGGTTCATATGGCTGTTTCTGATAGTAAGTCTCTGCACCTATAAGCTACAACTCTGTGTATTTGCCTGTCTGCCTCTAATATTGGGGGCAGTGGCACCTATAAGCTACAACTCTATGTATTTTCCTGTCTGCCTCTCTAATCCTGGGGACAGTGGTTTGACCTGTGTCCTTTTCTCTCTTAACAGTTCCAAGAAGAGATGATTTTTCAGTCTCTTCAGCTTTATAATTGTTATGATCAAGTGATAATTTTCAAGCTTTTTATGTGCAGAAATAGAAACCTGGAATGTATTTCTAAAAGCACCTTCTTAATGTCTATGTAGATAATCAAAGGATTTTGCTTCATGCAAGTATGAAAATGATGAATTTTATTGGTAGACTTCTTAATACTGAGCTTTCCTGTATTCATACAATAAACTCAGAAAATTCCTTTCTGGTCTTCACAGTCTATTTCTCTTCAACTATATTTAAATATTAGTGTTTCCACAGGTTCTGTGCTTCTGCCTTTTTTTCATATGAATATTCATGAGATACAAAGCTGATTGTCTCCCCTCTTGCCTGTGATGTGAGGACCAGATTTATACTGGCAGCATACCCATTTCCACAAATTGCATTTGAACCCCATGTCCCCCACCAAATTATCCCCAACCTCCCTCCCCCTCCACTTTACCCCCCCAACCCCATTTTGTAGCCCAAGGAATGTTCTCTCCCTCTGCAAGACCAATGCAGTACTCTGGTCTGTCTGTCCTTCTTTCTCTCTTAGCTCCCACCTATGAGTGAGTACCTATGGTATTTATCCCTCTGTGCTTTGCTTATTTCATTCAACATAAGTTTCGCCAGGCTCATCCATGTTGTTGCAAATGAGAGAATTTCATTCTTTTTTATGGCAA